TCCCACCTTAATACAACGGATGGAATAGAACAGCTGAAAAAAAAACAAAAAGGGAATAACAAGTTTGCATTGAATCAATCTACTTTTAAAATACCATGTCGAAATTATATAAAAAATAAAAAAAGGTTATAAATATTCGAATAATCCGACAAACTAGTTATATACGAAAAAAATATTTGCTATTTTCTGTTTAAGTCTGGACGTACCTGAAAAATTAATGAACTTCCATGGTGATGGTTTATAAAATTAAATAAATTCGAACCACCGCCAAAAGAAGAATTGCAGCCTATTACTCACCGCAGAGATCCATCCCTGCCCAACCCCCATTAGAATGTCTGACGCTCAACTCCACGAGAGCACCTGCTTGGTCTCTCATTGACTGCTGACCTGAGATGGAACAAATACATTGAGTCAATAGCTTTTGTCCACCGCAAGAAAAGTTGGCTCCCTGTGTCACGCCAGGAAATTTTTCTCGCCGGAGTCGGATCCTTCAAATCTACAAATCAACCATTCGCCCTTGCATGGAGTATTGCTGCCATATATGGTCTGGAGCCCCTTCTGTTTGTCTCAAGGTCCTTGATAAAATCCAGGGACGGATATGCAATGTAATTGGCCCTGATCTGGCATCTCGTCTGTTTTCGTTTCTCTCATAGACGTTTTGTTGCCGCCCTCTGTTTTTTTTACAAAGACTTTCACGGTAACTGTCCGATGAACTGCTTTCGCTGGTTCCCAGACTTCATGAATTTAAGCGTTCAACTGTCGAAACTGTTAAATGTAGCCGTCTCTTCTACTCCAATAGCTTCATATCTCGCACTTTTCACCTGTGGAACTATTCATTTTTTCTGTTTCTGATTTGATAGCTATAATCTCCAACTATTCAAATGTAATGTCAATCGACGTCTCCAGATGCCCTGATCTAAAAATCATCCTTCTCTTCATCCTTTCCTCTATCACTCCTATTTGCTCTCGCTCCAACTTTCTGTAACCCCTTAATGAAGAGCAATTCTTAAATATATTTTTGAGGGAAAATTTTGAACTTGGTGATGCTGGTGGGAAAATTCTGAACTTGGTGATTTCGAAGGAAAATTTTGAATTTGATTTTTTTGCTTGAAAAAAAATTCTGAAGACTTGATACTGGCGGGAAATCTTTGAATAAAATTGAAAAAATTTTCTTAACTTTTCATACATTTTAGTTAACATTTTAATTACCAACATCAGTTCGAGTTTTAAGGTTCAAATATATTTTGAATAAAAAATCGTCTTGGAAGGAAAAAAAAAAAAGAAAAAAAAAAAATAAAAAAAGTTTGTTTTTTGTCATTCTAGAAGATAACAACATTTCTATGACATATCTTAACATAATTAAGACTAAAAAAAACACATGGAACTCATGAATATAATACATATAATGAATTGAATTTTTTAAATTGCTTGTATATTTATTGCCAAACACTTCATTGGTAAATGAGATAAGAATGTAAGATATTGTCTTTTTTAGTTTACTTGCTTCTTTTATTTCAGGTACACATCAAAATATCATCTCCCAGTAACATCTTAGTCTTTTTTGGGCAGATTTGCTCAGGGCGACTTTGTCAAGGAACAGAGTTGCAATTCGGAAAATTATATTATGAGAGGTGCCTGGCCCTGGGGAATAAATATGCCCGTGAATTCAGCTTGTTCATTGCACTAGAGAGAAGGATCGGTGCACACATGACAAGGCCAGCGCAACCGACGGTTGCGGGGGCTGAGGACAATTTTGTTCCTTGGACGGGTGAACGGGCAATTTGGGCAAATACATTAAACCAACCTTCTATCACAACCTGAGACTCTTTATTGATTAAATATTACACTTGTTTTTTTTTTTTAAAAGCTCCTAATTCGCCAACTTATAGTTTAACATTTATCCATTAATCTCTCTATATTGGAAAATATCAGTCCATTTTTTATGGCAGAGATTTCTGGACAAAGAATTCTAACAAATACAAATAAAGAGATTTTTAAGGCAATAGAGAGGTGGATCTACAGGAGGATGATGAGAATACAAAGAAAAATTATTGTATGTCGGGTCTGTCGGAACTCGAGGACTTACTCTATGAATCTGTCACTGTCCTACGCAGAGAAATATTAGCATATGAATGCAACAAGCAGTGTGAATACGCAAAAATAGAGTGAGTATTACATAAAATATTTCTGAAGAGAAAACGTACAGTTCGGTGGTGTCATCTATGTACTTGGTATGACCGTGTGGTTTCCTCTCTTGTGTTAACTGCTGTGGGCAGTCATCTCTTGCTTCTCCACGGTCTACATAGCAACTGGGCTTCGTCACCCCACAAACTGACGTCACTCATTGGCTGTCACGAGAATTAATCTTTCTTGAAGAGAGATAATCGCCCTTTGTATTGCTACAGGAGGTTGGCTTAACTGGTTCAAAATTTGACCACGGTATTACTTTAATATTTTCATAATGATGTCTTTTTTTAATCAATTCACCCCAAGCAAGGCGATAATGGGAACGAAAGAGAGTGAAAAGATTTTAGAATATGTACCGCCATAAAAATTGTGATACCTAAGGTTTAAATTAATTTAAAAAAATGAAAAATCTTTCTTGAAGCTTTCATTTTGGCTTTAATTGAAAGCTAAAGGATTAAATTTACTATTTCCATTAAGCAAAATAGTCTGAAGCATTTCAAACAGAAATTATATTGATTGGAATGGAATTTAATGCTTTTGTTCAGTAACATTTTTTTTTTTTTTTTTGCCTATTTTTGAGATATTTGTAAACAAGTTATTTCTCGGTTTTAAAAATCTTGCAAAAATAAAATATACTTTTCTGAAAATTTATTTGAGAAATAGTAGCTGATTTAAACTATAATTAATCTGATTTGAAACAAATTCTGCTAAAAGCATCGAAATAAAAAAATATAACAAAAACAAAGAGATCGAAAGCTAAGCAAAGAACGATTTACCGATGAAAAATACGAAATGAATAAATCTTTATTTATATGTTTTTTTTTTGCGTGCATTGGTCAGCTTCCGAACTGTCTTTTCTGTTCAGTAACATCGTCAAAATTGTCCATTTTTGAGATATTTGTAAACACAAGTTAGTTCTCGGTTTTAAACATTTTGCAAAGATAAAATATACTTTTCTGAAAATTTAATTGAGAAATAGTAGGTGATTTAAAGTATAATTAATCTGATTTGAAACAAATACTATTTAGTTTAAGTTTAAAAATATCGCACAAAACATTTTTTTTAACTAGACTAGCTGTGTTTTTATCCGAGAGTAGTTAATAGCCTGTTAACAGCGTGAGGACATATCTAATGTTGCTCTATGGAAACTTTATCTGTAAAACATAATTTAAGAAAACGACGCGGCCGCCATGTTTTATATAATTTTTAAATACTCAGTAATCTTCAAAGTTTAGGAAAATATTCTCGATAATCTAATGTTTTACTGAATTTTAGAAATTTCGGCTAATTTTGATATAGTCATTGTTCTTGTTTTCTGATAATGTCGTGTATAGACACCCGTACTTATAAAAATCCACAGGTTTATACGCTTATATAAAAATCAAAATTATTTAAAAAATATTGGTGTGTGATGTTTTGTATTAAGCTTTTCCATTCATCATTAGTAATTATAGTTTTACTTACTAATATTATTTAAACGGCAGAAATTAATACAGAATTTTAAATGATTAAAAACTTAAATTTCTGTAATTAAAATTAAAAAAATTAATATAATTCTTTATTCATTATTCATCGAAATATATTTTTCTTAAGAAAATACTGTCCTTAATATATCTTATTATTGAAACTTGACTAATGCATGGAATAATAATACAACACAAAATGTACTTAGAACAAAATGTATTGAAACAAGAAAGTGTATACAATATTTACATATAGTCTTTTGTATATTCTTGGGAAGACCGTTCCTGGAGAATGTGTTGACTTAGTCGTAGTTGGGCAGAGTCTCTGGATTGAATCTCTTGATTCCTTCCCTCGTCTTCCCGGTACCAACCATATTTATATGGTCGGTACTCCACTATGCAAATTAGGTGGATCCTACTACAACACTTATGCATATAGACAATTAAAATATTTTCAAATTAAATAATGTCATAATTTTATTGTATTTTTTTATTTTGCGATTCAGAGCAAATATTCGTTAAATAGTGTTTCTGTTTGCCAAAAAGAAGTTGATGATTTAAATTCTCCAATGATTCCTGCTTTTAAATAATACAAATACGAAGAGGCTGAAATTTTAATTTCTGAAAAATTAATTAATTATGTGTGGAGGGGGGGGTAACAGATGGAAAATATTTTTACCAAGATTTTCTACAAAAAAAAAAAAAGAAAAAATTCAGAATAATCTAATTTGTGAATAAGTCCTGAAAGTCTCATTAAAATCCGACCATTATTCGATTTTTGCAAGAATTTCCAAAACAATGTTTTTTTTTTTACCGTACAAAAACGCTAAATTTTCTATACTAATATTAAGCCCAGCACTGACACAAGAAAAACAAAATTTTTAACCAAAATTCCGAACGTGCTAGAAAGGATTAAAAAAAATGTAATAAAATAATAAAAAAGAATTTGGTCTTTCCTCTTCATTTTGATGATGAAACTGTTTTTATCAAGTTTGAGGGCTTTTTTTTTAGTGAAAAAGTGGAGCTGTTTTAGAAGGAACTGGAAAACGATCTTAAACAGGAAAGAAGAAGTAAACCTCGACTCCTGTTTAAAAGAACAGGGACGATAATTAGATACAAAATAATTTTAATCAAATAAATGTTTTGTTTTTTTTAGTTTTGCTGATAGAGGATTTACTTCTTTGAGAAACCTTTGGTTAATCGGCGTTAATTACGATTCTTACAGGACACCTTGTTATGTTTACGAGATAGTCATTGAAAGGCATTTTAGAAGCACAAATTTAATAAAATTGCAAAGGAAGGAAATCAAAAATTAAAATACAATAAATATAATTTAATTAAAAATAAAAGTCTATTTCATTCATTCATTCTTTCTTTCTTTCTTTCTTTCTATCTATTTATTTATCTATGTCAATCTGTTCCTATCTATCTATCTGCCTCAGTTTGTTCCTATCTATCTATCTATCTATCTATCTATCTATCTATCTATCTATTTCAGTCTGTTCCTATCTATCTATCTATCTATCTATCTATCTATCTCAATCTGTTTCTATCTATCTATCTATCTATCTATCTATCATCTATCTATCTATCTATCTATCTATCTCAGTTTATCTATTTATCTATCTAATTTATCTATGTATATCTATCTATCTATCTAAATTATCTGTTTCAAGGGAAGAAAGGAATTTTATTAAGAGAGAAATGACATCGATGGCCGGATCCGAATAAGGTGCCGGCAATCTCTGCTTATTAAAAATCTTTATGCGGAGCTGACCCGTTTATTATCCATTGATTGTCGTCCTTATTGTTCAAAGCAAATTTCCAATCTGACGAAATGTATAGGTAAAAAAAACAAAACAAAAAAAACTAAAAAATACACACACAACTGCAAAACTAAAGAATAATGGAGGAGAGAAATTATACCTTTTGGTTTTTCCAGTCTATAATATATTCTTCTCTGCAAATGAATTATTCTGTAGAGACGTGGCAGATAAGATTCACAGAGACAATGTTTTTTTTTGATTGGTTCCATACAGCCGTGGCATGTTTTATGCTAATTGCATAGTAATCTCAGTGAAGAAAGAATTATATATGAAAGTCGGCACTGATTTCGTAATTTGAGATTTCTATCACACAAGAAGAAATATATAATTAAAATTAAAAAAATTGATCACACTTTACGCTTATAATTTGCTGTCTTTTGATCATAAAATTAACTCGTCGATTTTAAGTAGAAAATTACTAGTTTCCGAAGATTTCTGTCTTTAATGGCATTATGCTTTCGTTCTAGATTCGTTTAATCGGAATGATTTCGTTGTCTTTGTATTTTAGCAGAGCGTTTTGCACCATCAGCTCTCATTTTTTCTTTGGTTTATTGTGTACAAAACAGGATAAGTCTCGAATTTCATTTTCTTTATTCTCTGTGCTGACTAGCTGAAGAAACTTTTTACGGGCAGAGATAAGTGTTTTATATTAGAAGTTCTCTTATCTCCATAAAAAGTTTCTCTGTAAATACTTTCAAGACATCTATTTTATAAAGTTCTTTTGGCCACTGTGCTAAATTCACTTTCCTACACTGGAAATAGCTGCAAAAAATGACAACTAGAGAAGTAGAATAATTTTCTAATGGTTCTATCAATAATAATAACTAGCCAAATTCCAGTCTTACAAATATTTCCTTTTATTAATAAGTAAAAAAAAAAAAAATAAGCAGACGATTTTATTTAATTTATGTTATCTGGATTTTTGGCGATTGCTTTGGCACATTTATTGCGTTCGCCATTAATTCTTAGCCTTTTGGCTGGGATCAAAGTGTATTATCTGCCCTTGTGCGGATAAACTACATTTTATCTCTCAGTTGTGTCTTTGTCTTCGGACAGAGTGCAACTGAAAATATTATTGTGAGGTGTCCAGTCTCGGGTAAGAGCTGTCCACTCCAGTAACATTTGACTGAATTTCTCCACTTCTATATTCCCTTCTTTCATTTTCTCACTGAAACCAAGTAGAGTCTGTTCCTTTCTTTCTAAGCGGCCAAAATCGAATAGTCGATTATTTATGAGGTATTGGCAGGGCGTAAGGGTCGTGCGAAATAACGAAGGTGGGTGGGGGGCAGACACAATTCTAAAAGGGTAATAATAATAATAAAAAAATGCTATTTTTCAGTTGTTTAAATAATTCAGAGCAGTTTTAAGAAAACTAACTAAACAAGATATTTCGATTTATTTGGATAATTCCGTAAAAACATTTCGGCTCCGTTCGACTAATTAGTATTAAATTTAAATGTCAGACAACAACAATGGACACTACGAACGCCGCAGGAGATAAGATCGTAACTAACTTTAGTGTGACTAAAATTATAGAATTCTGTAAAATAATTAATATTACAAAATTATATACTTTATATTTCTTTCTATTTATTTTAAGGTTTTCTTTAAATACAAACAACAATGTTTTTCCTGCTAACAACTTTGACAAGGCTGATATAAATTCTTTCTATACAAATAAAAAAAAATTAACGATAGAAACATTGTTTATATATGGTAGCTTATTTTAAAATTTGAATTAAAATTAATATGGAGAAAATATTCTTTCTTTTTATGTGCCGTGTCCTTTCGATCATGGACGTAAGCGATCATGGCTCTTATTAATTTTCCTTATCCCTTGTAGCTCTCAATAAATTTTGCCTCTTTGCTACTTCCACCAAGCCATGTTCTGCGGCCAACTTGCTTAAGCCCTCTAGGTATGTCATGCGTTGCTTTCTCTTGTTTCTCTCTCTCTCTATTCTACCCGTGAGTATCAGATTCTCCAGGCCCTCCTTTCTCATTATGTATCCTAGAAATTTTAGCTGCCTCTTCCTGATGTTAAATATAAGCTTCCTCTTTGTTTGCATCCTCTCCAAAACCTCATCGTTGCTCACACGCTTGGTTCATGATATCCTTAGCATCCTTCTGTAGAGCCGTATCTCCGTCGGATCTCAGCATCGCACTTGCCGTCAAAACACTTCTGTCTTCTTGTACTTTTAAGATTGATATACAAATTCAATGTTAGCGCTTAGGTTGTAAGCGTAATTTGTTCGTAATTAATACAAAAGGCTGTCGTCCTGGGTCTGACGATAAACTGCATCCGCGTCCTGGGTAAGACGATAAACTACATTCGACAGCAAGGCCTCTAATCAGGAGGTTTTGGGGATTACTGGTGTTCCAGGTCCACTCTGACTCGAGTTGGTAGCACCTGTTAGGATCCCAGCTATGGGTAAATAGTTAGCCCCCAAACTGGGGTCAAAACATTATGAAAGTGTAAAAATAGGATTTAATACCAGAAATACTTTGTAAAAAATTATTAGCAGTAATAAATTTTTGAAGAAAAATTGTTACCAGCAATACTTTTGTAACTTAGGGAAGGTTATTGAATAGAATAATCATACGGAGGTTGGTAGTGAACGATAATAATTAGAACAAGAACAACACATATAAGATTCGCCAGCGGCACATAGAAGTAGTAGTCAACTGCTAGAAGTGAGTCAAGTGAATTCAATAATGAATCTTCAAATGCAGGATATCTACCAACCACCCCACGCAGATGTGGCACAAGGCCGAATTTAATGTAGGGTATCGGAGCCCATAGGCTCGGCTAAAAATCCCCTGTAGACCCCGTATAAAACGGGGTCAGGTAGCTGTTTCCTGAGACGAGATTCTGCCCTTCTGGGGATCCTCTTTGTCCGGAGTCAGAGAGTTTGACCAGCACAGCTGGAAACGAAACTCCAACTGTAGACTAACACAGAGCAGTTAGTACTGTATTTATGTGAATGGAGACATACCCATTATCGTCCGTAGGCATGCTACAACAAATATATTTTCGAAAAAAATATTACCAGCAATACATTTTTGAAACAAAAATATTACCAGCTATGCATTGAAAAAAAATTATCAGCAATCCATTTGTGAAAAAAAAAAAAAATTATCAGCAATAAAATCTTGTCGGCATTAAATAACACATTGAGGTTGATATACCGTAAAACAAAACAAACGAAACAAAAGGCTTATAGTGAAATGCTTGCTTAACAAAGCGAACTATTTAATTTTAAACGGAGAGAAAATTTAACCAAACGCTAAAAAATTACAAAAATTTATCTACTATAGGGAGACTTTTCCCAATTTACAAAAGACAATTCAGTTGCCAACCAATGCACACAGAAACCCAGCTATAAGTAAAGATTTATTCATTTCGTATTTTTCATCGGTAAATTTTTCGTTGCTTAGTTTTCGATCTCTTTGTTTTTTGTTATATATTTTTTTTTATTTCGATCCCTTTAGCATAATTTCTTTTTTTTTCTGCGATATTTTAAAACTTAAACTAAACAGTATTTGTTTCAAATCAGATTAATTATTCCTTAAATCACTTGCTATTTCTCAAATAAATGTTCAGAAAAGCATATTTTATTTTTGCAAGATTTTTAAAACCGAGAACTAACTTGTGTTTACAAATATATCAAAAATGGATTTATTCATTTCGTATTTTTCATCGGTAAATTTTAAACTTAGCTTTCGATCTCTTTGCTTTTTGTTTTATTTCCTCGCTGCTTGACGTTGAACACAGGTGTCGCCGCTCCAAACGTGACGTCCGCCTGTCGCGTCGCCTGTCGTCAGTCGTGTTGTCTCGTCCTGTGACGACCAACTGGCTTGGTATCGGTCGCGGCACCCAAATGTGACGTTCTAACCTTTTGGTGATTCGGATGGGAATCTGGTTAGATTCGATATCAGCCTCGTCGTTCCCAACTCGCTTCCAACGCCTGGTTACCAAAGTAACTGCGTTGATCTCCAGTCTGCCTACCCACGTTGTGAATTGATCTTAGGCAGACGAAATCAATCAGTCGTTGGGGCCGTAATGCAAATTGGGTTCAACGGGGTGGTATCGCACAAATACGTATAAAAAAAATAAAATGATAACTCAAAAGTTCAAGGTATCAAAAAAAAAGGATAACAAACTTTATGTCTAGTTGTTGGATACATAGGACTGCGTCTATCTCCCGACCCGTTCTATGGATTGTGACACGTTGTTTTCCGTTAGGCGAGTTTTAACACTTCAAGTTGTTTGCTCTTTAAGAAATTGGTTTTTTGGTGTGTCTTCGGGCGAAAAAAAAAAAAAAAACTTATTTTGGTGGTCTGGATCTAAGTCGCTCTTCAAAATAATTGTTCTTGGATTGAAGATGAGTCCGGAAATTGCGCGAATCTTGGTCAGCCGATGCGAGGCTTGCTTCAACTGAGCACTGGAGACTGACTCTGGGAACTGTCTCTCTGAACTCAACTCTGGAACTGAACTGGAACTCTCTGCTGGAACTGATTTTCTGCTCGCTGCGACTTTGCTTATATGGACGCCGACCAAAACCGGGGTGGGTTTGTCGGCGTCGGAGGTTCCTCGATAATTCTAAATACATATCCACTTCTTTTATTTTTGGTTAGGAATTTTCCACTTTTTTCCATTTTTGGGAGCCTTCTCTTACTCCCCACCTTCTCACCATACTTCAGAGGGGCGTGAACTGTCCTCCCCACTTCTTCGTAGCAACCTCTCATACCCATCCTCTAAATGGGCGGCGACAGCTTCCTCCTTGCGTCACGTGATCACCACTCGGCCAATGATATCCAGCCGGGCGTGTGCGATCCCGTGGGCTTTGTTTCAGGAAAAAAAAATATCTTCAAAAAAAAAATTTTTCTTTTTCTTTTCTTTTTTTTTTAATCGCAGTTCTCATTTTCTCTGGCCGCAAATAGAACAATGCGATCGGTGGTGGTCATAACTCTTGTTCTCACCTGGACTTCGTCAGTCAGATTATCGCTAATTATCAGAATGGGTGGTCTATTTGACACAACACAATCGTCCGTCGCCTCAAAAAAAAAAAAAAAAAAAAAAAAACATTTCCATGGTTCCAGTCATTCTTTGGTGCACATTTCTGATAACATAGTTTTATTATCGCAGCTAAAGATGTCTTGTCAAAAAAAAAACGGTCAGTCGCCACCTTCGTGTGCGGCTTTGACACAATTAATTTTTCATATCTATCCAAAGCCCTGTAGTTCACCTGTTTTTTGTCAATTATCAAAATAACATTTTCAATTGGATTTTTCTTTGGCTAGTCGGTCTGTGGTTTGCTTAATCAGATGTTTTCCCGCATTAGCGGTTTGTTTATGTATCCCCGATAACACAAGCTCGTCGCCAGAACACCCGATTCCTTTATCCACTCAGAATTTCCCTGCCATTGTAATGACACTTTTCCGCCATTTGTTACTTATCAAAATATCCTTATCCTTTATCCATTGTCTCGCCTGGTCGGGGTGTCTTTTTACTTATCATCCACGCCTTTTGGGTCTCAGCTCTTTTTCCTTTTTTTCCTTCCTTTTTTCCTTTCTTTCAGATAAAGAAACGACTAACATTACCATAATACGTAGCAATTATACAATAACAACACCTTTTAAAACAAATTAAAGTGCTAGCAATCAATTGTAAGAAGAGAGTATGTGTGACGCCCAGCCGCCGGCCTGTGGTCAACTCCCAGTCGCGGTGAGAAACTGTAAAAGAAAAGAACGACCCAAGATGCAAACTAATGAATTTGAGACGCTAAAATCAACGAAGTACAAACATTTAGTTATCAAGGAAGTGGTTTAACAGAGGATGGAAAATGTGACACCGAAATCCGACGGGGCATTGGGATAGCGAAAGATGCCTTCCAAAAGCTAAGCAAAGTATCAAGAAACAGGAAAATTTCATTAACAACAAAGAAAAGACTACTGAAATGTTATGTATCATCAACCCCATGTTGCGAACTACAAATGAGAGACACAAAAATCAAGCAAGTACAAAAACTTAAATATCTAGGAAGCGTTTTAATAGAAGACGAAAATGTGACACTGAAATCCGGGGGGGGGCATTGGGATAGAGAAATATGCCTTCCAAAAGCTAAGCAAAGTAATAAGAAAAGGGAAATTATCGTTAGAAACAAAGAAAACTGTGATGAAATGTTATGCAATATCAATCCTCCTTTACAACTGTGAATGCTGGACAATCTCCTCGTGGATGAAGAAGAGACTTGAAGGAACAGAAATGTGGTTCTACAGAAGGATACTGAGGATACCATGGACCGAACACGTGAGCAACGCCAACATTTCTGGGGCACAGAATGAGGAAAATGGAAAATTTGATATTCACTGGACAGATTAAAGGCAAAAGGGACAGAGGAAATCTGGCTAGTTTGAGTGAATGGATGGGGGAGCGTGCTTTGGGAGAGCGGGCAAAAATGTAAAAGTTACAAAGGACAGGAAGTTGTGAAGAGCCATGATCGCGAACGTTCTGAAAGGAAACGGTACATAGAAGATGATTATATGCTCCATCCGGCCATACCGGGTGAAAATTATTCCCCACTCACTGCCATAGAAAAAGATTGATATTTCATAACACTCCATTACTTCTTTGTTTGTTTCTGACGAAGTTTCCCGCCTAGGAGGGGCATCTAATTTTATCCCAATGCGTCTTCGGATTTCGGAGTCACATTTTTCGGGGTTGGTCAAAAAACTTTATTTTATATTTAAATTTAGAGTACTTGGTTGTTTTTCGTTATCTCGCACATCCAATTGATTTTTCGTGGCTGCAATCTACCGCAATTTGTCATGCTTACGACCAGGTCTGTTATAATCATTTACAAGCCTGCCTGACCCTCTTGTCCTGTGCTGGTACAATTGTGCTGTCAGATGCAAAGAAATAAATATGGCGCTTCCCTGGAGAAATTTTACGGGTAGAGGAAGTGCTTCGGTATTTTGACATTCCATTAGTGAATTAACTTCAAAAGAAAAAAAATAATTCGCAGTATTTACTTAAAAACCATCTTCAAACAGACAGAAACGTGCGCACTAATATATATATATATATATATATATATATATATATATATATATATATATCCAGTCACGTGACCATTTATATATTAAGCAAGATTTAAAATAGAATGCAGTATATATATATTCCATTTTACTATCTATCTATCTATCTATCTATCTATCTATCTATCTATCTCATTCTGTTCATATCTTTCTTATTCTGTTCATATCTATCTATCTATCTATCTATCTATCTATCTATCTATCCCATTCTACATTATCTATCTAGCTAAGTAGCTATCTACATGTGGAGATAGTGAAAAGTTATTCGTCCGATCAAGAAACCCTCCCTCACCAGAATAAGTCTGATGTCTGGTCAAATTTTGGTAAGCTGACCGATCCGCTGTTTTTTATTGCATGTTGCGCATCTATCATCGCCCCTCCACATATCTATCTATCTATCTATCTATCTATCTATCTATCTATCTATCTATCTATCTATGTAGACGTATATAAGTATATATGTCGACAACTACCTTTTGCCTTTTTCAATGCTAACGAGCTTATTGAAAAGAATTGATGCAAATATTGAATTAAATTTGTCGACAAAATGACATGGCGTAAAAACAAACAAACCTAAAAACCAGAAATGAGATAAACTGGAAAAGTCATGATGCGGACGAAGGAAAAATCCTGAAAATTTGTTCCATTAAGAGAATATAAAAAATTCTGGAAGATGAACAAAATTGTCATTATGGAAATAACCTATATACTTTCGTGCATTTAAAACCATAGCCTGCGTTCGAGTTCGAGTAAAGCTCGGTTTTTGAATTTGATATCACTTCACTATTTTCTTGACGCAAACATGGCATCATAATTTTTTTACTTGTAAAATATTCTTCATTCTGCATCTTATATAATAATTCGTCCACTTATAAAATATTCTTGGTTCTGTATCGCATATCATAATTCGTCTACTTGTAAAATAGTCTTCAGTCTGTATTGGATACCATAATTCATCGTCTTGTAAAATATTCTTCATTCTGTATCGCATTTCAGAATTCATCGACTTGTAAAATATTCTTCATTCCGTATCATATATCATAATTCATCGTCTTGTAAAATATTTTTGGTTCTGTATCGTATATCATAATTCATTTGCTTTCGGTATTCCAATGAAATTGAACATAGAATAGAAAGCGCCAGAAGTAGTTTTGCCCAATACCGCAAATTGCTACAAAACCAAAACATCTTGAAAACTCGAGTCATGTATTTAAATGGCCTCATCAGATGTAGACTTTCATGTGGATGTCATGTATATCATCAAAACACGCTTAGAAATATGTAAAAACCTGAAAATTCGGGTCATGTTTTTAAATGGTCTCGTCAGATGTAGACTTTCATGTGGATGTCATGTATAGCATCAAAAGACGTTTAAAAATATGTAAACTGTCAGCTATATATAACTGTTTTCTAAGATCAAGATTGAAAAAAGGCTTTTGAGCGAGTGAAACCTGAGGGTCTTGGCAAAGAGCATCCTTCTTTGAACCTCATGAACTGGTGATACAGAATCACTAACAAAGAATTGTACCAAATAATACAAATCACATCACTTGAAGAATACCAACAGTAGCAACAACTAAAATGGATAGCACATGTAACTTAAAGCGAAAATAATGACATAATCAAGACGTTGATACACTACTTACTATTGTCCTCATCTTTGTTGCCATATTGATTATAACGTTTCGGCCGTTGTACGCTTCGGCCTTCTTCAGGTGGTTGGAATCTGGAACTGAACCCTTTATTTCGCTCACTGGGGTAGACTGTTCTAGTTCCACGTGCCGTGTTTAACCTGGTATTGAAGTCACACACTTTGGGTGTTTAGGCAATGGAGAACTTTCAGAGGGAAAATTAACTGGAGATAACTGACAACTGACATCCATTAAACATAGCATGTGGAATTATTTTAAGGGAAAGATTTTACAAATTTCAACTGAAAGCAGTACTGGCTGCTCCGTCAATGAATGCCAAATGTTTCCTTATAGGGGAACGGCTGATATTACAATTACCATTACTTTCATTACCAATGGGCATTCGGATTTCTGTGCCACATTTATTGTCCTCCATTAAAACACTTCCCAGATATTTATGACACGGCGTTGCTAGCAGATATAGAAAAGACGCTGCAGGATAGTAATAAAGGAAGGTGGGAAGAAAGGACTAAGCATCAATTGCAAGAAAGCACTATGGTTGCCAGCAAGAGGAACAGTTCCAAATGCGAAAATTTAAATAACTGGAAAATAATTACTAGGAATTGTTGCACTTTATAGGAAATGAATAAAACGCTTTTGAAATGTTAAATAACTAATTTATTTAGTTGAAATAGGCAGCATGTTGATAAATGATGGTTCTCCAATTTACCTCTAAATTCTTGATTCGATCTTTTAAAAACATCTCATCCTTTGATGTGATAATGTTATAGAGTAGTTTTCACAGTGGGGGCTTGTATTTCACTAAGTCGGCCCTAAAAAGGTTCGACGTACAAAACGTTAGGAACTTGTTATAATAGTTAATGACGCAGCAATCTAGTTGTGGTGGTTGATACTTTAATGTCCGACATCAACTGACTCACCAACTCACTGAGCTCCCTGGCGACTGCTACTACTACTACTTATTATATGTGGGAGAGTCTATTAATAATAGAATAGGTATGTTCTAGTATAACAGATAAACACTTCAAATGCTTCGATTACATCTTCCTTATTGGAGAATGTTGTAGTGAGTATGAAAAACTCATCATATTTAATTAAATGATAATTAGTAGGAGGGATATCAGGTGACTATCGAGGATGAGGCAACATTTCATAATTCAGGTGAGGCAGTTTTTAGACAGTTGACTGAGAAGCGAGCGACTGTGCGTTGTCGTGCATCAAAATTGGGCCATTCCTATTTACAAGTCGAGGATGTTACTTTTTCAATTTTTCGTGCATAAACACAATTTATAAACACAATTGATCTTCGTCAACGACCCCTCCGATGTCATCTGTTCCCACCTAGGTATTTATGCTGATGACAAAACCATTTAATCCTGTTTTCGTAATCCCGACAAAGTAAAACTGACAAATGCTCTCAAAAAAGATCTCCGATCAGTGGTTAGCAGGGCAAGAAATGGCTTTTAATTTTTAACGCCTCCAAAGCAAAACGGTTTTTATTTAATCACAGCAGAGAATCTTTTCTGCCTGCCAACAGCATGACTGATGCTAAATACTTTCATCGTAATTCTTCTGAAGAGATTTGTTCTTTGAAATATATTGAATTAAAGTGCAGTACTAGATTGGCAGTTAGGTCTCATCATGTTACAGTGGAAATGGCTAGATGTAACCGTAAGTTCTGTGATAACAGTGTCTTCATTCTAACTTCTCGCTAGTGGAACTCTCTAGCTTCTTGTTTTACAGTCAACTTTGATCTTCAAAAATTTAAATGCAATGTCAATCGCTATTGTCTGCTTTCTTAATTCTTGTTCTTTTATTGTCCTCTCTCCTTAATAATGTTTTTCTTTTTAATTCATATTTTCTAACACCCAGTAACCTTTGCATGTTAGTAGCTTTATTGCCTTGCATATGGTGAAATGATTTTAAAAAATACAGAAAGAAATCACAAATTTTGGGCTTATGGCATAAATACATTCTGAAAATTTTACCACCATTAGTTTTTTAACAGAAAAATTGTATAAATTTATCAAGAACATATGCATTATTTTGACCAATAATAAAATTTGATTGACAAGCTTCATCTTTATTCCTTCTTGAAAGAACATGTGATTGTGGGTGAAAAATAATTCTGAGAGAGCATTGGATGTGAGTGAAAAGGATTCTGAGAGAAACTGGGATTATGGGTAAAAAATGATTCCGACGGAGCCTTGGATTGTGGGTGAAAAATGATTCTGAGAGAGCCTTGGATTGTAGGTGAAAAACAATTCTGAGAGAGCCTTGGATGTGGGTGAAAATGATTCTGAAAGAACCTATGTTTGGGGGTGAAAATAATTCTGAGAAAGTCTTGGATTGTGGGTGAAAAATAATTCTGAGAGGACCTGGGTTTGTCGGTGAAAAATGATTCTGAGGGGACCTGGGATTGAAAAAAATAATTCTGAGAGAGCCTTGGATTGTGGGTGAAAAACAATTCTGAGAGAGCCTTGGATTGTGGGTGAAAATGATTCTGAGAGAACCTTTGATTGTGGGTGAAAAATGATTCTGAGAGAGCCTTGGATGTGGGTGAAAATGATTCTGAGAGAACCTAGGATTGGGGTTGAAATTAATTCTGACTGAGCCTTGGATTGTGGGTGAAAAATAGTTCTGAGAGAACCTGAGGTTGTGGGTGAAAATGATTCTTAGGCGACCTGGGATTGTGGGTGAAAAATAATTCTGAGAGAGCCTTGGATTGTGGGTGAAAAATAATTCTGAGAGAACCTGGGAATTTGTGCGAAAAATAATTCTGAAAGAACGTGGGATTGTGGGTGAAAATGATTCTGGAAAAATCTGGGATTGGGGGTGAAAAATAATTCTGAGAGAACTTGAGATTTTGGGTGAAAAAGTAATTCTGAAAGAATCTGGGATTGTGGGTGATAAATAATTCTGAGAACCTTGGACTGTGGGTGAAAAATAATTCTGAGAGCACCTGGGATTGTTGGTGAAATTGATTCTTGAAGAATCTGGGATTGTGGGTGATAAATAATTCTGAAAGAACCTTAAAAGTATTTTTTTATCATATTCTGACATTCAGTAACCGTTTGCGTCTTAGTGGCTTTGTTGCCTTGCTTGGAATGTAATCACAACTTTTCGACCATTGTCCCCTTTAGCCTTTTTTCGATTTCTTTTGATCCGAATAACTCAATGAAGTTCGAAGGGAAATTTTATATAATCTACAGGAGCAGATTGTTCTTCGCTGGCCGTCATATCTTGGAATATATCGCCTTGTTATTTAATGCTGTCTTTGAGGCGTATTTAAGGTTAAACACTGGCGACAAGAAGGTCATCAAGATAGAATGGCGAGGTGACTTTGCGAAAACTGGAAATGAGGATTTAAAAACGAAGAAGACGCCAGTGAATTTGGCAACAGGAAGAAATGAATTCGCGCAAAAGAATGCACACGAATTGTTGAGACTGGTCAAGGTGGCCCACGTGATATTCGATCTTAATATACCAAGCACGATCGCCAAGAATTTACCAAGGTGCTTCATAAAGAAATGCAAATAGTCTGGAAATATTTAAGTAAATTTTCTCTTTATAACAAACAGTATTCAGGACGGAAAATGTTGTTAGTACTTTTTATTATAAACATCATTTACTTAAATATTTGTATCTATAAAAAGAACGTATAAATAATAAATATATTAAAATAATTGTCGGACTTAGTCTATTTCTAAATATATGATGATATTTGTTTACGTTAAGATGCGCTTCGGGCAGATATGAACGTTCGAGAGAAATCATGGGAAATTTGTAGTTTAAAAACAGTAATTCTACTTGCTAACCAGATGCTATATATGTAGCTAACTTACACACACACACACACACATATATATATATATTAAGACATTTTTATCTGCCCAAAACGTATATAAACATAAAAATGTCTTAAAATAATTGTCGGATTTTGTCCATTTTATAATGTGTGACGCCATTTATTTACATCTGGATGCGCTTTGAGTAGATACGAATGTACGTGAGAGATTCATGGAAGATTGAAGTTTAGAGGCAGTAAATTCGACCTTGCTAACCGGATGCTCCTCTATGGCCAAATAGGTTAAAGGCACGTCATGCTATATGATGGTTCCGTATAGGATACAGGTTCGATTCCTGTCGGAGGACGAATATTTTCTGTGAAAATTTCTCGGACATTCAGGCCGGTAAATGTTGTTTAATACTGTTTATTATAATCAGAGCATTTACTTAAATATTTGTATCTATAAAAAAGAATGTATAAACATAAAAATGTCTTAAAATAATTGTCGGACTTTCATAATATATATATATATCAAAGGGGGAAAAAAAACTAAACACATAAATATCATTCAATACAGTGATGCTGTTCCAGTTTTATGGCCCATTCCAAACAATGGCACACTAAATTAACGAACAGCGATTCAAAACCTTTTGAAAATGTTCAAAGCATGTTTACAGGTTTTTAAATCAAAGCCAGCATACTGGCATCTGGGGCAAATTCTGATGCTGGCCAATCGTTGGTAGAACATCGCCGAGAATAAAGAACAAATGTTGGTGTTACTCCATAAAATTTTGTTGCTTTCTTTCCATTTCCTAAATGAGTCAGGATTTCCTGTCCAACCGAATACATATATCCAAGCACATATTGTTCAATATAAGAGACAACGAATGTCTATTATGTTTGATCAGGAGCCGTTCTAAACTTCATATATGGGCTTTAATTTCGGGTGAAAATAAAGACAAAATTTGTCCGACATTTGGATATATATTTTTATTATGCTGTTCCTTGATTGGTATGCAACAATAACGATAATCGTCGCTTAGCAATCTTCTATATGAACATAAGAAAATATCATCTTTGATGGTGAATATCTTGGTTTAAATGTCCCCATAACCACTCTGAAGATGGCTCATGTGAGCCGAAAGTTCACATCAAGGAACTGCTTAATAAAAAATATCCAAATATTAAACAATTTTTGTCTTTATTTTCACTCGAAATTAAAGCAAACTATACTGTTATAACCTAGGAAGGGTTACTGGATGAATAATAACCATAACGGACGTTGGAAATGAAATCAGCAAAACACAATACTCGCCAGCGGCGTGAAGTAGGTAAACCACTGCTAGTGGTGGGCTATTTAGACAGCATATCCCCCTCTTCCACTTACAATAGCGTCCAATGTATTTATGACGACTGGGATATACCCATTAATGTTCATAGGTACGTTATATAACATATACGAAGTTTAGAACGGCTCCTGATCAAACATAACAGACATTCATTGTCTGTTATATTTAACAATATATGTCTGAATAATGATCTGCTGCCCCAGTACACACACACACACACACACACACACACACACACACACACACACACACACACACACACACACATAATTTTCTGAAGAAATTGCTTCTAGGCACGAAATGCGCTACGTAGGAATTTTTCCATATCGTCCATCTGTTACCGACTATTCTACCATATAGATACGTGTATCACACACGCACACATACACACACACACACACACACACACACACACATATATATATATATATTATAAATAAACTGATTTAAAATATGGTTTTTCGCTACACAGTAATATCCATGTTTCAAAAATGGAAGCTAAAATTTTTTAATTTAATTATATAATTAGATCAAAAGCATTAGTTCCGTTTCATCTTCAAGCGAATATTGGAGTAACTTATTTTTAAATTTACTTAGTTTTAAACACACATAAATTCATAATTTCCTTTTTTCAAGGATACAGAGAAATAATATAATATTTAATTAATTTAATAATTTAATAAAATTAAACTCCTACCCTCCCTAAACTTAACCTCTTTTTCGAACGTAACTCATAATTGATACAACAATAGTTAATAAAAATGAACACGCTACAGCCCTGTCTGAATGATTGGATTTCTCTGTATCCTTGAAAAAAGGAAATTATGAATTTATGTGTTTAAAACTCAGTAAATATAGAAATAAGTTATGCCAATATTCGCTTGAAGATGAAACGGAACTAATGCTTTTAATTTAAATTAAAAGCATTAGTTCTATAATTAGTTATATAATTAAATTTGAATTTTTTAGCTTCCATTTTTGAAACATGGTTGTTACTGTGTAGCGAAAAACCATATTTTAAATCAGCTAATTTATAATATTTATGCTCTGTAAATTTACATTGAGCACTGTTTTGTAAAAATAAAAATAACAAGAACACCGGATTATATATCTTACTGTTCTTATATATATATATATAATTTTCTGAAGAAGTTGCTTCTAGGGACGAAATGCGTTACGTAGGATTTTTTCCATATCGTCAATCTGTTACCTACTCTTCTACTATATAGATACGTGTATCACACACAGAGACACACACACAAACACACATACAAAACATATACATGTGTTTGTGTGTGTTGTCTGCGTGTCTAATGTCTTTGTCTTCTAGACATTAGGCAGGAAACTGTTGAAACGAGACAATATAAGCGTAAATGAGAAATAACCTGTTTAGTTTTCTACCTGATGTCGTCCTTACGCTAAATCAAAAATGACTTTTTTTGTATATGTCAGTCAATAAGACAATGGCTTCGGTGAAAACAATGACATTTGACATTTCACAATAGAATAGAAGATGGTCGCTCATCAATTATTTGTTTGCGGATTTCATTTTCATTGTCATTCCGACTTTCGGGATGATATTTTAAAATTCTGGAATCTCACAGACTTTCTGGTTTTTTTCTTTTCTTTTCTTTCTTCCATTGTTTTTTTTTCTGTCTTTTCTTAATAACTTTTTTATTTATTTGACCGGACATTATTTTCTCTCTCTCTCTCTCTCTCTCTCTTTTTCATTTTAGAATTCCCTTTCTTTATTTTTTATGTGTTAATTGCATTATTCTCTCTTTCTTTTCAGATCATCCTTTCTCGTTTATTTCTTCTTTCCTTTCCCTTCTATTTTCTTTTTTTTTTTTCTTTCTTTCTTTCTTTCTTTCTTTTCTTCTTTCTTGTTTTTTTTTTTTTCTACTATTTTTTTTTCTTTTTCTTTTAATTATTTCTTTCTTTCTTCTGGGGTTTTTTTTCTTTTTCTTTGTTGATTTTTTTTTATTTTCCTTTTCTTTTATTTCACTTTTTTCTTCATTTTCTAAATTTTTTTCTTTTTTTTACTGTTTCTTTCTTTCTTTCTTTTTTCTTTCTTTTTCTTTTCTTTCTTTCTTTTCTTTCTTCTACTGTTGCCTTGATTTTTTCTTAATTTAGACCTTTCTTTCTTTTCTTTTACATTTAAAATTTCTTTCTTTTTCTTCAACTATTGCCTTTCTTTTCTTTCTTTCTTTTTTTTTTTTTTTTCTTTCTTTATAGTTTCTCTGTTTCTTTTCTTTCTTTTTTTTTCTTTACTGTTGCCTTTCTTTAATTTCTTTCTTTCTTTCTTTCTTTCTTTCTTTCTTTCTTTCTTTCTTTCTTTCTTTCTCTTTTCTTTCTTTCAACCACTTTCTTTCTTTCTTTCTTTCTTTCTTTCTTTCTTTGCATTTAAATTTTCTCTTTCTTCCACTCTTTCTTTCTTTGTTTTCTTTCTTTCTTTCTTTTTCTTTTTTTCTTTTATGAATTTTATTTCATTTCTTTTTTCTTTCTTTTTTTTTCTTTTTTGAAGTTTTTTCTTTCTTTTCTTTATTTTTTCTTTTTATTTTCCTTTACTTTTCTTTTTTTTCTTTCTTTCTTTTTCTTTTATTTCAAACATTTTTTTTTGATTCCATTTTTCTTTCTTTAGATTTTGTTTCCTTTCTTTCTTTTTTTTCTTTCTTTTTTTTAAGAGTTTCTACCTTTTTTCTAAAATTTCTTTCTTTTCTTAAATTCATTTCTGTTTTTTTCTTTATTTTCTTTTAAATTTCAACAGATATTTTCTTTCATTTCTTTTTTTCTTTCTTTATTTTAAAATATATATTCTTTTTTCTTTATATATATTTCTTTCTATCTACATTTCTTTCTTCATCTTTCATAAAATTTTTTTTCTATTTTGGAATTTTTGTTTTTTATTTCTTTATTTTCTTTCTTTTTTTAAATTAAAATTTCTTTCTATAATAAGAGACTTTTTTTCTTTCAAAATTTCTTTTCTTTTCTTTCTGAGAAATAACTTATCTTAGTTTTTCTTTTTTTTTTTTTTAAAAAATTTCTTTCTTTCTTTCTTTTTTAAATTTATTTCTTTATATTCTTATATGATTTTTATTTTTTTCTTTCTTTCTTTCTTTTCTTTTTTGAATCTTTCTTTCTTTCTTTCTTTTTTAATTTTCTTTCTTTCTTAATTTTTTTTTATTTTTCCAGGATTTGAATGTTGCCTGTTGGAATTTCTTTCTTTCTAAAAATTTTTTTTTTCTTCAATAATTTAGCATTCTTTATTAACTTTTCTTTCTTTCTTTTTCTTTTTCTTTTTTTTTCTGTTTTTCTTTATTTCTTTCTTTCTAAATATTTCTTTACTTTTTAATTTTTTCTTTTTTTCTTTCTTTCTTCTACTGTTTGGAAATTTTTTTTTTCTTTCTTTATATAATTTTCCTTTCTTTCTTTCTTTCTTTTCTTTAATTTTCTTTCTTTTTTTTCTTTCTTTCTTTTATTTTTTTCTTAATTTTCTTTTTGTTTCACTATTTTTTTCTTTTTCTTTTTTCTTTTTTTTAAAACTCATTTCTTTTTTTTAAACTTTTTTTCCATCTTTAAATTAAAGAATGGTTTTCTTTTTAAATTTCTTTTTTTTCTTTCTTTTAAATCTTTCTTCATCATTTAAATTTTTCTTTTTTTTTTTTTTCTTTTTTTTTGTTTGACCATAAATTTGTTTTTTTCTTTTTTTTCGCTCTTCTTCCTTTTCTTTGTTTTTTTTTTTTTTTCTCAAAACAATTTTAATTTCATTTTTTGTATTTCATAAATTTTCATCTTTTTCATATTTTATTTCTCTTCATTTCATTTTAAAATTCTCTATCTTTTCTTCCAGTTTTTTTTCCTGCTCGATCTCTTTCTTTTCTAACTTTTTTTTTCCTTTTTCTTTCCATTTCTCAATCTTCCTTCATATGTTCCTTTCTAAAATTAAAATTGCATTGCAATTTTTTATTTTCAACTCGGAGATTCGAATGACTCGTAGAATTCTGGAAATAATCATTTTGCTGCCATTTTTTTTTATTAGTATTTTTTAGCGCCAGGGCAAGTATTTTATGATTTTTCAACGCCTTTTCCGAATTTTCTGGTCTTGGTAATATTTTCCCTTCCCCACCGTTTGGTACTGTATTGATTCTGGCCGTTGGCGGAAGAACTCTTTCGTGAGAAATCATTTTGCTGGTGGCTTAAGATGCCGATCAGCATCTCAAGTGAATAGGTCGATTTACAGTAAACAAGTTAGCAGACGGTTGCAAAAGGTATTTTATTGCAAATGTCATTGTCAGTTCATTGAGGAGAAGAAGTAGAAAAAAAACGAAGAAAAGCAACCCGAAATAAACCGAGAACAGACGAAGAAGGAAAGTCGAGAAAAAATGCCAAGGAGAGCAGAAAAACTGATCCAGTGAGCCAACATTAGTTTTTTTTATCGGGTTGAGAACGTTTCAGCATATCTGATACAAAAAAAAAAAAAAGTTTTTTGAAGGTATTAAAAAACAATCAATATGATTGTCTATCGTCCTGTTTCCTTTTTGAACAAGAGTAGAGGTTTATCTATTATATCCTTTCTAGGACAAGATTTCCGGTTCCTTCAACTCAAGGGTACAGGTTAAAATTTATTGTTTTGTTCACACTTCGGATAAATTTTTTTAACTTTAGAGGTTTTTCATCGTCTCGTGTTTAGGATTGGGTTTCGGTTCCTTTAAAAAGTCTTTTTTTCAAAGACCGTCATGAATTCATGAATTTAAAATTTAATTTAATTTAATGTCCCTGCATTTCAGCGTCTTTTTCCATTGTATATTCAACCGTTTAGATGTTTATTTGCATTAAAATCCCCTCCCTTATAGCCATAGAAAAAGATTCTTTATTCTGATGAAGTTCTTTTGAAGGACGAAACGTGTCAAATCGGATGCTTTCCATTTCGTCATTCAATTACAGATATAATTAAAAATTACTGTTTATGACGTTTTTTGTTATGTGTGTGCGTACGAGAGACTTCTGTTTAGGACTTTGCGAGTGTAGAAATTGTTCAACTGATTGTTCGTTTCGAAAGCGTACGACTAAAATCTGTTAAGCATTTTTCATGGGTGTAATGGTTGTTTTAAATGTCATGTAGGTTGCTGAATGGTAAACATATTTTAAATACCTGAATACTGCAAATAGATGATGTCAACGAATTTAAAATTTAGTCGACGTGAAAAACGTAAAAATTAGTAGGTAAGTATAAGTATCGAATTCATGATCGAGCTCAAGTCAGCCTAGGGCTGATTTGGAACAACCAAAAGAAAGTTTCTAGTTACTTTATCGTTGGAAGGTTTACATATGGCTATGGAATATCCGTTTTCTTTTCAGTCAGAACAAGCATCGTATTCTTCGTCGAGCACAAGTCAACCTTGTGCAGAGTTGGAACAATCAAAGAAAAGTTTCTACTTACTTTATCGTTGGAAGGTTTATACATCCTTATGGAATATTCGTTTTCTTTTCAGTCAGAACAAGCATCGTATTCTTGGTCGATCGCAAGTCAGCCATGTGCAGAGTTGGAACAACCAAAGAAAAGTTTCTACTTACTTTATCGTTGGAAGGGTTATACATGGTTATGGAATGTCAGGTTTCTTGTCAGTCAGAAGAAGAATTGTCGAGCTCGTCAACCTTGAAAGAGAACACTTGACCTAATTCGTAGGTTGAGGTTTTGAAAGACACTTGTCATTTTTATTTATTAAGCAGTGTGTATTACGGCTATTCGCCTGTCTTCATTCAAGAAATCTTAATAAAAAAAAATGCGTTACCAGACATTTTGTTAAAGATTTCTGTAAGAATGTACAGAAGGCTGATAATTGTAATAAACACCATTTAATAAATACAAATCAGACATCTATTTCAAATAACAAATTACCAAGGAAAATAACTTTATAAATAAGAAAAAAACATCTAATATGTGCATGTGTGCGTTCATGTATGTGTGTGTCCTCCCGTAGCCTCTACCATTCTTCCGTCTTGTCAATAGTTATTATTTATTTACAGAATTTTCTTTTTTTCTTTTTATTTCTTTATTTTCTCAGATTTTTTTTTTTTTTAGCTTTAATTTGCTTGTCTTTATTGATGTTAATAGTTATTCTTTTTCTTCATTAATTCCTTCTTTCTTTTTTTTTCTTTTTTTTCTTTCTTTTTTCTTTCTTCTATTTTTTCTTTCTATATATTTTTTTTTTAACCTCAACCGTTTTTTTTATTCTTGTTAAATAGTTATTCTTTCTTTCTTTTCTTTTCTTTCTTTCTTCCTTTTCTTCTTTCTTTCTTTCTAAAAAATATATTTCCCTCTAATATATATTCCCAGCTATTTACAATTACCCCCTCTCTCACTGCATTTTCAATTAACTACAATAGATTTTCTTGTTCTCTTTTCTATTTCACACTGATATATTTTAACAATCAAACCAATAATTTTCCCTCCATCGCATTCTAATGTATTTCTATGTAATAAATTCATCCATTTTCATCTGACAGATTGCATTGCTGTCATCGATTTCTAACTACATATTACCCATTTCCCCGGCAAAGCTACTGTAGCAATTTGCATTCGTTCGATCAGCGACGCAATCCCGCCGAGTGAGAAGAAATACAGAACAAGACTGTCATTCAACGGTCTTTTCACTGCATCAAGTTCGATTTATAAAATATTATTCATCAATGAATTATAGGCATGGATAAAAAAAAAAGATTAAGTTGAAGAATAAATATTTGTTTTGTGATCATACGAATAAATTTTACTATATTTCTGGCTATATATCATTCATCACGAGAAACGCCAGCTTAGGGAATTGTACGAATGATTCATTATTTAAGCATACACATTTCTTTTTTTCATTTCTGCATCTGATGAAGCCTAGAAAGTCGAAACGCGTAATCAAATCAAGTTTCAATGAAACGGTTTCCCATTTGTCAAATTTCTTCATATATATATATATATATATATATATATATATATATATATATATATATATATATATGAAGAAAAATATACGGAAAAATAAACAAAAATCCTAATATGCAATTATGCTGTTTTAATGTTAATATAATGTCAACGTCGGACGTTTCGGTCTAGTAGACCATCTTCAGGATATATTCATAAAACATAATTAACATTAGACTATATTCAATTCAACATGAAAAGACGATGGACATAAGAGTAATCAAAACAGATAACTGAAATTTTTCAAGATCATCGTTCCGTTTCAATATGATCACGTCGGCGTCACGTGGGCAATGTTGTCAATATATATATATGTATGTATGTATCTTTTAGGCATGTCTGATTAAATAAATTACAAATATTATGTCTGTTTTATTTTTAGTATATTAACACTATCAAGTCGTTTGTACAAAAAAAAAAAAAATTAACATTCAGATGAACGCAACAATTTTGTGTTAGAAAAACCAACACCATGATGATGACATTGTGCTAATGTCGAAAGTACTCGGAATAAAGGAATATGTATAACATAGTAATTTTCTCTCTTTCTTTAATAAGGATACCAAGTAGCTTGTCCGTAAATATGAGAGGATCCTATAGAAAATATATAGATAAAACTTGACTAAATTATTCAATGAGACATGTCTTTATATATATATATATTTTTAATACATCGTATAGACAGATAATTGTTTGACATTAAATGTTCTTGGTCCGACTCAAAAAGACTTTAAAAAAATAGAACTAAGTCCCTTTGAAGAGAATAAGGGTGAAGGCGCACAAATTTAAAAGAAAAACCGGTACGAGTCACTGCGTGCCGAATGTATGAAAAAATGGTCGGACGTGTAACGTGATGCCTATTGAGATTGGGTGTCGTGGGTTTCTGGGACATTCGGTCATTTCCTTAAAAAAAAAAATAGGCATCACTGGCCGTTGGTTGAAAAGCGTTTCGCATCACATTAAAAAAACTGTTCAACACGCGTCAAGTTGGATTTGGTCGAGATCAAAACAAGCAAATAAAATGCGCGCAACATCACGGCC